GGAAGAAAGAAACAATCAAACAAAAAGGGAGAGGAGAGGAACTTCTGCTTCTGGTCATGTGAGAGAAACAGGGCCCATCATTATCTTCATAATGTAAACAACTAGAAAACTGAACAAAAATATATGAAACAACGATGTTCAGACATTGAACATAAGCAGCATAAAACTGTCATTCCTGAGAGAAGTGAAAAGAAGTAATCTCTATTATTTTCTGGCTGCTGTGAGGAGAAAGTTACCAGACATTAGAGTAGGGTCAGGATCCCAGATATAGCCTAGTGAACTCATTGATTGAGGAGACAGAGATTAGGGAGGCCAATGTGGCTAGAACTTGTGGGAAAGACTATCAGAGCAACACAAAGAAAAATCTACATAGTGTTCTCAGATTTTTGGCTGAGTATTAATCTATCCACATATAATGTGATGCTGGGCAAAGAACAACTTCTGGGAAAAGTACAACTACTGGGAAGATGTAAAACAAATAATTCTCATAGATTCCTCATAGCTGGGAATCACTCATGTTCCCACCATGACTTGTTGAATATAGGAACATTTGAGGGTGACCCTAAAAGAGTCATGCCTTCAAAGAGAGAAAGACATAGCAGATATGGAAAACATGATCAATCATCTTATCCTAATTGACATTTTTATAGAACACTACACCCAGCAATGCAAGAAAGCACACTCTTTTCAAGTACATATTGAACTTTTATGTAGACAGAGTGTAAGCAGGATCATAACATAGTTCTCAATAAATTTAAGATAATTTAAATCACACACTATTTTCTATGATCATGAAAGATTAAATTAGAAATCTAGCAGAAAATTTTTTACCCCCAAATATTTGGAAACTAGACTGCATACATAAACTACAAGTCAAGAAATTAATCACAAGGAATGTTAGAATATCTTCGACTGGGTAATAATAAGTGTCATATAAAAATGTGAAATGGAGTTAACAGTGACTCAAAGAAAATTTATACTTTAAATCTTTATATTTGAAAAGATGTATAGAATTAAAGCTTACACACTAAGTTTATACATTAAGAAGCAAGCAAGAAAAAAAGCTAACTAAACCTAAATTAAACAGAAGGGATGAAATGATTTAAAAATAATAATAAATCAATGACACAGAAAGCAAACCAAGCAGTATATTAAAATATTAATATTAAAATATATGAGCAAAAGCTAGTTATTTGAAAAGATCAATAAAATCAATGAATCACTAACTAGAATGATCAGGAAAAAGAGAGAATATGAAAATTTAAAATATCATGAATTACATAGGGGACATCAAAACAGATACTACAGAAATTAAAAGAAAGGGAATAATAGAAACCATTTTAAGCCTAGAAGAAATGTGCAAATTCCTTCAAAGATACAAGTTATCAAACTTAAGAAGTAAAAAAGTTAAATATCACTATAAAAATTAAAAATTTGAATTTGTATTTAAAACCATCCCTCAAAGAATATTCCAGATCCAGATGAATTCATTGACAAATTCCCCAGTAAAGCAGAAAATAAAAAACAGAAAACCAAAAAAACAGAACAAACAGAAAACAAAATATAGAATGGCAGCTGCAAGTCCTAGATAGTAGTAATTACATTAAATGCAAATGGTCTAAATACATTATTGAATGACTGAAATTGGCAGAATGGACCAAACATGACCAGGTATATGCTGTCTATAAGACACTAGCTTCAAATATAGTAACATAGGAAGGTTGAAGTAAAAGAATAGAAATAATTATATCATTTAAATACTGAATGTCTTCCCCCTGAGATCAGGAACAAGGTGTGGATGCCAACTCTTCCCACTCTATTTCAATATACTAGTGGAAGTTCTAGCCAGTGCAATAAGAAAAGGAAATAAGATGCAGACAGATTAGATAAGATAAAATAAAACTGTACTTATTTTCAGGTGACATTTTACCTACACGGAAAATCCCAAAGAACCTATCAAAAAACTCAGAACTAATGAGACAATTCAGCAAGGTCACAGGGTACCAGATAAACATATAAAAATCGATTATATTCCTATACTAGCAACGAATGTAAACATCCAGACACCAATATTAAACATCATACCATTTTCAATTGACCAAAAAAAAAGAAACACCTGTGTGTAGAGCTAACCAAATATGTGTAGAATTTTTACGCTGAAAACAGCAAAACACTGAAGAAAGAACTCAAAGAAGATCTAAATAAAAGGTGAGTCATACTATGCCCATGGATTAGAAGGTTCAATATAATAAAGATGCCAATTCTTCCCAAATTGATATACTCCTTTAATATAATTTTCCAGCAAGATTACTTTGGCAAGATTTTTCTGAAATTTATACAGAAAGGCAAAGTAACTAGACATGTCTAAAATAATTTTGAAAATAGTAAAATGATTTCAAGACCTAATACATAAATACAGAAATCAAGACAGTGTAGCACTGGCGAAAGAACAGACATATAGATAATGGAATAGAAAGTGAATCTAGAAACAGACCCATACAAATATGCCCAAATTATTATTACTATTATTATTATTTTGAGTTGGAGTCTCACTCTGTTGCCCAGACTGGAGTGCAGTGGCACACTCCCGGCCACTGCAACCTCAACCTGCTGGGTTCCAGTGATCTTTCCACTTCAGCCTTCCAAGCAGCTGGAACTACAGGAGCATGCTACCATGCCCGGCTAATTTTTTGATTTATTGTAGAGATGAGGTCTCCAAGTTGCCCAGACGGGTCTCAAACCCACGGGTTCAGGCAATCCACTCACCTCAGCCTCCCAAAGCGCGGGACTACAGGCTGAACCACCGAGCCCAGTCGCCCAAATTATTTTTAACAAAGGTGCAAAAGCAATGGAGAAATGCCTTTTCAACAAAAGGTGCTAGAGCAATTGGACATCCATAAAATTTTTTTTAAAACCTCAACCTAAGTCTTATATTTTATAAAAAATTAAGTTAAATACAAAATGAAAAACTATAAACATTTTTTTTTAATAGGAAAAAATCTTTAGGACATAGGGCTGTGCAGAGTTCTTAGACTTGACACCAAAACCAAGATTAATAAAAGGAAATATTGAGCCGGGCTCGGTGGCTCAGCCTGTAATCCCGTGCTTTGGCAGGCTGAGGTGAGTGGATTGCCTGAGCCCGCGAGTTTGAGACCTGCCTGGGCAACTTGGCGAGACCTCATCTCTACAATAAATCAAAAATCAGCCGGGCGTGGTAGCGCGTGCCTGTAGTG